TAAATGAACAAAAAAATAGCTTTTATTCCTTTCAAAAATAAATATAGACTTCTGCTGTTAAATGCACTACAGAACTGAACAATTTTTTTGTCAAAAAGTAACATCTGTAAAGTACAACAATCATTATTGATATTTTGACGGATATGGCTACTGGATCAATTCATTCATGAAATTTTGTGTTTTAGAGTTATATCGTCATAAGAAATTTGTCATTGTTTCCAGGTCTGTGATTCATGCTCAGTTTCATTATCCCAGATTCAGAGCACAGTCACAACTAACAGAACGATTCATCAGATGTTCATTTCAGAAACATGGATAAAGGGAGAGGTGTATGGTCATTGCTAGAGGGCCCCAAACATACAACAAAATAGGCACACAGCAACATGGACATTTAGGTGAGCACCTACACAAGCTCACAATCTACACCTACACACGCCCATTCTACACACACATTCACACACTGCAAACATTGAAACAATAATCAAGAAACAAAGAATATATATCCTTATTTCGAAGCGATTTGAGAATGTCTCCCGCTTGATCTCGATATCTTGCTAAAAGTACAGCAAATGCCTTAAATCATCTCTGCAAGGTCAAAAATTTGCAAGAGACCATTTGAGTGCAGGAAACACTTTTGGGACCGCTCACCCCGTCACTCACTGTAGAGTCCTTTAATCCGCTGGCCTTTGATCCCCCCTTTGTTAAAAATCTTTAGAAGCTGTCTGTGAAGTGATGCCTCTGAGTGAATTTTGAGACAAGTGGCATTGTTGTAATCCTTATGAACTCATTTCTGTACCTGAAAATAAACCAAAACACAACATTGTATTACAGAGATGCAACTGATACCAACTTGATTAATGCCACACGCTTGGGAATAACCCAATGAATTGACCCTACTAGACCTGACCAAGACCAGACCTAGATCACCTTCTTTCAGTGAGGTTCTCAGATGAGTACCAGGAGATGGTGTTTGGTACTGTTTGGTATTTGTCGCGTGGTTCTTAATCGAGATTTTTTACTTGCTTCTTTTTAATGCTAAAGTTTAGATCAGCTCAGATAATCTGGTCAAATAATAACAGATGCAAAACAAAACAAAAATCAAAACAATGTTCTTTTCGATTTGTTCACAACATTTTAATTTTGGGCACAACCAACATTATTATGCATTATTAATGCAAGGGAAAATGTAGGTACCACAGCTTTAATTTAGAGACACGGGGAGGACATGGACACTCTCTTAAAGCTGCACTAATTGACTTTGTTTTCCGTTTTCATTACGAAAATGCAATCCATATCCATGCAGTGGATTGGGACATACGTCCTTTTAAAGAATAAGTAGTGCAGGTTTGTGCTGGCGTGACATTATATTTTAGTTCAAGTTTTCATGAAACAAGGAAGAGAATGTGTTTCGGGTCTTGTGACCAATCACAGACAGCTGGGAAGGCGAGGTGGTCTGCTCGTCCGAAGCCGCTCCTCCAGGACCCCTTTGCCCTCCATCTACCTGGCCAACGTCCAGTCTCTGCCCAACAAGACGGACGAGCTCCTGTGTCGGGTCCAGAGCCAGCGCGAGGCCCGGGACTGCGCTGTGTTCTGCCTCAGCGAGACGTGGCTCCACTCGAACGTCCCGGACTCTGCTGTTCAGCCCCCGGGATTCACCGCTCACCGCACAGACAGAGTGAAGGAGACCACGGGCAAGGCCAGAGGCGGAGGTGTGTACTTTTTAATTAATCAGCGCTGGTGCACGGACACTCGAATCGTGAACCAAACATGTACTGCCAATCTGGAATGCCTGGTCTTGAGCTGCCGCCCTTTTTATCTTCCCCGTGAGTTTTCAGTGATATTTTTATGTGCTGTTTACATTCACCCACGTGCGGATTACAAAGTAGCCCTACAGGATCTGAGCGAGATCCTTCACAAACATGAGTCTGCTCATCCTAACGCAGTCATCATTGTTGCTTGGGATTTCAATAAATGTAATTTAAAGACTGTTCTCCCAAACTTTTACCAACATGTGACTCGAGCTACAAGAGGAGCACATGTTCTGGATCACTGCTACAGTAACGTGAAGGGAGCTTACAGGTCCAGTCTCAGACCTCCTTTTGGAAAGTCTGACCACTCCTCTGTTCTCCTTCTTCCTTCGTATACTCAGAGGAGCAGGGAACATAAACCAACCTCTCGCACTGTGCAGTGTTGGTCTGAGGAGGCTAGCATGAAGCTACAAGGTTGTTTTGATGCTACGGACTGGTCTGTGTTTCAGTCAGAGGACGTCAATGAATTCTGTGACGCTGTGTCTGGATACATACACTTCTGTATTGACTGCTGTGTCCCACAGAAGGTCATTAAAGAACATTTTAGTCAAAACCCTTGGATGAACGCGGAAGTGAAACTGAAACTTCATGAGCGTGCGTTGGCGTTTCAATCAAATGATACAGTTGCTTATAAGCTATCCTGTTACTCATTGAAACGTTCTATTAAATCTGCAAAGCTTAGTTACGGGGACAGGTTAAAGAGTTATTTTGAGGAAGATGACCCTCGGCGCATGTGGAACGGTATTAAAGCCATCACATTGTGGAAACCTAGTGCTGGGAAAATTGCATCTGTCGGCCAAGCTCTGCCAAACAAGCTGAACACGTTCTACTGTCGCTTTGAATCCGCTGATGCCTGTCCTACTGTATTCCCTGAGTGTTTCAATCAAGGTACCTTCACCGTGACTCAGGAGGAAGTCAGGCGTGTCTTGTCCAGGACCACAGTCCGGAAAGCCCCAGGCCCGGACTGCATCCCTCCTCGTGTCCTGAAACTGTGCTCTGAGCAACTGTCCCCTGTGCTAACAGACATTTTCAACCTGTCGCTAAGGAACTGTACTGTGCCGAACTGCTTTAAAGAGTCGACCATCATTCCAGTTCCTAAGAAAACTCCTGTGACATGCCTGAATGACTACCGTCCTGTGGCCCTCACGTCTGTTCTTATGAAAACTTTTGAGCGGCTTGTGCTGGACTTCATTAAGAGCCAGAACCCTGTGAGTGTTGACCCGCTCCAGTTTGCTACAGACAGAACAGGAGTGTGGAGGATGCCATCTCCTTTGCTCTGAACTCTGTCTACAGTCACTTGGACACTAGTAAATCTGTGGCGAGAATGCTTTTCATCGATTATAGCTCTGCTTTTAACTGCCTTGTCCCAGGTAAACTGATTGAAAAGCTCATGTCTCTCGGTTTAAGTGTTGCCATGTGTAAATGGATTTTTAGCTTTTTAACTGACAGATCTCAGAGAGTGAAAATCAATGACTGTTTTTCTAATGTTGTTTCTGTGAGCACTGGTTCTCCTCAGGGATGCATTTTGAGTCCTTTGCTTTTTATTTTGTACACTCACGATTGTGTGTCCTCCTCTGACTCTAACTTGATCATTAAATATGCTGATGACACCACCATCATCGGTCTCATCAGTGACACTGATGAATCCTCTCATAGAGCAGAGATACAAAATGTGGTTCACTGGAGTAAAACTAACAACCTCCAGTTGAACGCATCCAAAACATGTGAACTGGTCTACGACTTCAGTCGCAATAGTTCTCATTTGCCTGTCGTAATCGACAACTCCAAGGTGCAGATCGTACAAGTTTCTGGGTTTAACTCTGTCTAACCTGAAATGGGTTAAAAACACTGACCGAGTCGTTAAGAAAGCTCGTCAGCGTCTCTACTTTCTGCGTAAACTTAGAGAATTTACCACTAACTCTAAGATTCTGCTTAACTTTTATCGCTGCACCATTGAGAGTTTACTTGTTGGTTCTGTGTCTGTGTGGTTTGGAAACATCACAGACAAAGAAAAGAGAGCTTTAAACAAGGTGCTCCGCTCTGCAAAGAGGACCGTGGGCTGTGAGCTTCCTGTTCTGGAGGTTCTTTATAAATCCAGACTTTTAAACAAAGCTCTTAGGATTGTTAATGACTCTTCTGGCCACCCTGGGAAAGCCATGTTCCAGCTTCTTCCCTCTGGCAGAAGATATCGCTCTCTGAGATGCAGGACATCTCGTTACGCTAACAGTTTTTATCCACAAGCTGTTATCAGTGTGAACAGAGCACTTTAATGATTTGCACTTGTTTTGAAACTGTTTTAGTCGATCGATTTCACAGTGACATTTGTTTACTGTTTTATTTGTTTTATTTTTGTCTTTTAATGTTGTTTTATGTCTGTATTTGTCTGTGCACACTGGAGACTTTTGCTAATGTATTCCAATGTGGTGTTTTTACTGCAAATGGCAAATAAACTGAATCTGAAATCTGGAGCCTTAAAGCTGCACTAGATTCAGAGTCCAGCAGCGAAGGCTAGCGCTACCTACTAGCTTTGTGCAGAACCAAACAGGTTGACTCACCAGTTCCTCTGTATGATCATGCACACAGTGTGACAACCGCGTCAAATGAAGTGTAGGAGGAGCCTGTAGCGAAAGCACATCAGTTACCCACTGTATATTGTGAAACAAAGTTAGATCGCGGAGAAAATACCTGCAGCTTGCTCGGTTCCGACTTTCCCCACGACAACACACCCACCGGTAAATAGAGCGCGCTTATTTCAGGAAGTGTTGCCACGGGGATCGTGGGAACTCTCGTTCGAACTCTCGCAGGAGTAAGACAACTACCGCAAGATTCTACATGAAGTACGCAAAGGCGTTTACTAACTCAAGTGATAGTACGCATTTCTGATATTTGTCACGCATGCATACCACTTATGTGCACCCCTGTTTATAATAAACAAATACACTTCATATGTACACTGTGTTGTCCTTTATCTTGTCATTATTTTGACGATAGATCAAAATGTGATTTATTCCGATTAATTCATTTTCATGCTAGAATTACCTCAATTACAAATTTTAATCGTTTGACAGCCTTAGTAAAAACACATTAAAAACATAAACACACAAAAGAAACATAATTAATGCATCATATTTGTCCTTAAAAAATGCATTGTCTCTACCTAATTTGTATCCATTGTGTTTCTGCAGATGAGCCATGTCCTCCTCCCTGGGCCAGCACTCTTGCACCCGTCCCTTTATCTTGGCGATTCTTCTGGTGCTGTCCACACTCCTGCTCTTCTACTCTTATCACACCAATCTGAACGTTCCTTCGTTTGCCCGATTTTTCCAATTGAATAAAACTCTGTCATCTACACCCTCAAACGGCACTCTCAAACCTGAAGACAATCCCACAGATAATCCCACAGACAACCCCACTGACAATCTCACAGTCCTTCTCATCTGGACTTGGCCTTTTGGAGTCAAGTTTGACTCAAACTGCAGTGTTTTTGGCATCAAGAAGTGCCTTTTGACAGATAACCGAAGCCTGTACCACACCGCGGACGGTGTCTTTGTCCATCACCGGGATATACATGCAGACTTTATAGATCTTCGGAAAGTCCCACGCCCTTGGTTTCAGAAATGGGTGTGGATGGACATGGAATCACCGCAAAACACACGCCCAATCCCAATTTTAAACAATTTATTCAACATTACGTGCAACTATCGAGAAGATTCCACAGTCCGAATCCCGTACGGATACTTGCAGAAACGCAATGTCAGCAAACCGATTGTTCCACTTCCAAATAAAGACAAACTGGTGTGCTGGGTTGTAAGCAACTGGAACAACCAATATGCTCGAGTTCGGTATTACAACGAACTGAAAAAGTACATTTCAATCAACATTTATGGCCGTGCGTTTCAGAAGCCGCTCTCTGCTGATGCTCTCGAGGAGGTTATTTCGAGCTGTAAGTTCTATCTTGCATTTGAGAATTCTGTATACAAAGACTACATAACAGATAAACTTTTTCGCACAATGATGTTTGGGAGTGTGCCAATCGTGCTCGGTCCTCCCAGAGACAATTATGAGAAGCAGATCCCAGCGGATGCCTTTATCCACATCAATGACTTTGCAAACCCCAAGGAGCTGGCGGAAAGACTGCACTATCTGGACAAACATCCGGAGGAGTATAGGGACTACTTTAGGTGGAGGGCACAGTATGAGGCAAAGCTGTCCGGGTTTGGAACAGTGCATGCCTGTAAGTCTTGTAGCCACATACGAAAGACTAGATCACCTGAGGTAGTCAGCGATCTTACAAAATGGTTTTGGGGCAAGTGAGATCTCTTTTTTTATTTTTCAGATACAGTATGTATTCAATCTACTTTAAGACTGTGAAAATATTGTATTGAATATGCCAATAACTGACTTTATGTATTGATTTACAACTGCTCATGTATGTAAGTGAGAATACTGATTCTTCATGATTTAAAATATTACTATATATCTTTAATCCCATTGTCTTTAAGGTTGTCTAACAAATGTGTCTTTAAAATAAATATTTACCTCCACCATGTTTTTGAGTTGTTGTCATGGACTTAGAATTTGACCTATAAACTTACATGAGAGCTGAGGACTCTCTATGACAATGCGCCATCTTGAAAGACAGTGGTTGGGACAGGTTTGAGGACCCTCTCGCTTTCACATGGAACAAGCATATCTTGCACATATTTTGGGCAAGTCCATTCAGTGCCTTATACACAAAGAGAAGCACTTTAGAGTCTCTTCTATAACAGACTGGAAGTGTTAAGATTAATAAACTTGCGTGATATGATCAAATTTGTGAGGACTCTTGCCGCTACATTTTGAATCAGCTGTTGCATGGATTTTTTGCTGAGCCCTGTAAAAATACCATTGCAATAATCAAATCTGCTAAAGATAAAAGCATGTATTTGTTTTTCAAGGTCTTTCTTAGTAGGAAAGTGTTTAACTCTAGCTATGTTTTTAAGGTGGTAAAAAGCAGTCTTGGTGATGGCGTTTACGTGTTTGGTAAAATTTTATTCAGAATCAACCAAGACTTTTTACTTGGTTTGATACTTACAACAACAAGGAGTCTAGATAACTATTAACTTTGGAACGTTTATTTTTAGGTCCAAAGACAATAACTTCTGTCTTCTCAGCGTTAAGCTGAAGAAAGTTTTTACCTGTTCATTCTCTGACATGATGGATGCAGTCCCGCAATGTTGTAAGTGGACTAAAATCCTGGGAAAATACAGAAATATATACACTAGCTGTGTGTCGTCAGCATGTGTATAATATGAGGGGTTGTAGTACATATAAATATTTAATAAAAGTGGACCCAGTATGGACCCCTGTGGCACCCCACATGTTTTTGAAGATGTATAGCTGCTGGTAGACACATAAAACTTTAGTGGGACTTAATTTAAAACATTACCAGTTAGCCCTACCCACTGTGTGTGTCTCAGTGTTTTCAATCACACAATGTGTTTAGAATTTTGAACGGTGTTTTCCCAATGGTAACACAGGTTTGCATTTATGGACAAAAGGTCTTATATATAACGCAGTGTCTAGTGAGCAGGATTAAGTGTGTTGCAAAAATGAAAGTAAAGTGTTTTTTTTTAAAACTAACAAACAATCTTTCCTCATCAATGGACAGTTCACACAGGAAGAAGTTAACCCTTAGTTTCCTCTCTTATGGACAGCACTATTACAAAAGCAGTGACGTCGCCCGGCATGGCACAGCCGGGGCCCCACCCTGGAGCCAGGCCTGGGGTTGGGGCTCGCAAGCGAGCGCCTGGTGGCCGGGCCTTAGCCCACGGGGCCCGGCCGGGCTCAGCCCGAAGGGATGACGTGGGCAGTCCCTCCTGTGGGCCCACCACCTGCAGAGGGGTCCGTGGTGGCGAGGTACAGCGAGGACTGGGCAGCAGTCGAAGGCGTAGATCTCGACAACCCAGTCCACACACTCAACATCTGGCTCTTGGGACGTGGAACGTCACCTCACTGGGGGGGAAGGAGCCCGAGCTCGTGGGGGAGGTTGAGCGATACCGACTAGAGATAGTCGGCCTCACCTCCACACACAGGTTAGGCTCTGGAACCCAACTCCTTGAGAGGGGTTGGACGCTCCACTTTTCTGGTGTTTCCCACGGGGAGAGGCGGCGAGCTGGGGTGGCCATACTCATTGCCCCCCATCTCAGCCGCCACGTGTTGGAGTTCTCCCCGGTGAATGAGAGGGTCGCGTCCCTCCGCTTCCGGTGGGGGACAAGTCTCTCATTGTTGTGACGGCCTACGGGCCTAACGGCAGTGTAGAGTACCCGGGCTTCTTGGAGTCCTTGGGAGGGGTACTGGACAGTGCACCGCCCGGGGACTCCGTTATTCTCCTGGGGGACTTCAACGCCCATGTGGGAAATGCCAGTGACACTTGGAGAGGGGTGATCGGGAAGAGCGGCCCCCCTGATCTGAACCCGAGCGGTGTTCAATTGTTGGACTTCTGTGCCGGTCACGGTCTGTCCATCACGAACACCATGTTCGAGCACAAGGGTGTTCACCAGTGAACGTGGCACCAGGACACCCTAGGCCGGAGGTCGATGATCGACTTTGTTGTCGTATCATCTGACCTTCGACCGTGTGTCTCGAAAACTCGGGTGAAGAGAGGGGCGGAGCTGTCAACCGATCATCACCTGGTTGTGAGTTGGATCCGCTGGCAGGGGAAGAAGCCGGTCAGACCTGGCAGGCCCAAGCGTGTAGTGAGGGTTTGCTGGGAACGTCTCGCTGAGCCCTCTGTCAGACGGACTTTCAACTCACACCTCCGGGAGAGCTTCTTCCAGGTCCCGGCAGAGGAGGGGGACATTGCGGCGGCATGTAGCTGTGGTCGCAAGGTCTCTGGTGCTGGTCCCGGCAGCAATCCCCGAACCCGGTGGTGGACACCGGCAGTAAGGGATGCCGTCAGGCTGAAGAAGGAGTCCTATCGAGCAATGATGGTTCGTGGGACTCCTGAGGCAGCTGTCCAGTACCGGCAGGCCAAGCGTGCCGCGGTCCGGGCTGTTGCAGAGGCAAAAACCCGGGACTGGGAGGAGTTCGGAGAGTCCATGGAGCATGACTATCGGTCGGCCTCGAAAAGGTTCTGGCAAACCGTCCGGCGCCTCAGGAGGGGGAAGCAGTTCTTTGCCAACACCGTGTATAGTGTGGGTGGAGAGCTGCAGACCTCGAATGGGGTCGATATTGTCGGGCGGTGGAAGGAATACTTCCAGGTTCTTCTCAATCCCCCCCGTCACAACCTCTGTCCAGGAGGCAGAGGGTGAGGATGTTGGGGCGGATACTTCCATCTCCCTGGCTGAAGTCACCAAGGTGGTTGGCAGCCTCCATGGTGGCTAGGCGCCGGGAGTGGATGAGATCCGTCCTGACTATCTAAAGTCTCTGGATGTTGTAGGACTGTCTTGGCTGACATGTCTCTGCAACATTGCGTGGCGATCGGAGGCGGTGCCGATGGAGTGGCAGACCGGGTTGGTGGTCCCTCTCTACAAGAAGGGGGATCAGAGGGTGTGTTCCAATTATCGTGGGATCACACTCCTCAGCCTCCCCGGCAAGGTCTACTCCAAGGTACTGGAGAGGAGGCTACGGCCGATGGTCGAATCTCGGATTCAGGAGGAGCAGTGTGGTTTTCGTCCCGGTCGCGGAACACTGGACCAGCTCTATACGCTCCATCGGATACTTGAGGGTTCATGGGAGTTCGCCCAACCTGTCCACATGTGCTTGTGGATTTGGAGAAGGCGTTCGGTCCCTGTATGACCAGAGCCAGAGCTGCGTTCGCATTGCCGGCAGTAAGTCAGACCTGTTCCCGGTGCATGTTGGCCTCCGCCAAGGCTGCCCTTTGTCACCGGTTCTGTTCACTGTGTTTATGGACAGAATTTCTAGGCGCAGCCAGGGTCCGGTTCAGGGACCACAGGATTTAATCTCTGCTTTTTTGGATGATGTCGTCCTGCTGGCTCCAACGAACCAGGACCTGCAACATGCACTGGGACGGCTTGCAGCCGAGTGTGAAGTGGCTGGGATGAGAATCAGCACCCCAAAGTCCGAGGCCATGGTGCTCGACCGGAAAAAGGTGCCTTGCCCTCTACAGGTGGGTGGAGAGGTCCTTCCTCAAGTGGAGGAGTTCAAGTATCTCGGGGTCTTGTTCACGAGTGAAGGAAGGATGGAGCGTGAGATTGACAGGCGGATCGGTGCAGCGTGCGCAGTGATGCGGTCGCTGTATCGGACCGTTGTGGTGAAGAGGGAGCTGAGCCGAAAGGCGAAGCTCTCGATTTACCAGTCAATCTTCGTTCCCTCCCTCACCTGTGGTCATGAGCTTTGGGTAATGACTGAAAGAACGAGATCGTGGATACAAGCGGTCGAAATGAGCTTCCTCCGCAGAGTGGCTGGGCGCTCCCTTAGAGATAGGGTGAGGAGCTCAGTCACACGGGAGGAGCTCGGAGTAGCGCCGCTGCTTCTCCACGTCAAAAGGAACCAGTTGAGGTGGCTCGGGCATCTGTTCAGGATGCCTCCTGGACGCCTCCCTGGGGAGGTGTTCCGGGCACGTCCCACCAGGAAGAGGCCCCGGGGAAGACCCAGGACACGCTGGAGAGACTATGTCTCTCAGCTGGCCTGGGAGCGCCTTGGGCGTCTCTGCTTAGACTGCTGCCCCCGCGACCCGGCAACGGATAAAGCGGAAGAAAATGGATGGATAGATGGATAGTTTCCTCTCATCCAGGTTCGTTGTTGGAAGCACTGCACAATTAGCCAGAACGAGAGAAATGTTAATGCGCCAGCAGGTATTTATTGTAGATCACATATAAAGTTGTGTGGCCAAGGGGCTAATACAGAGTTCAATCAAGTAGTCTTCCTCCGTCTTAGCTGCTAATACTAAGTGTGCACTAACAGATATAGGTGCTGGCAAGACTGGACAGATATAGGAAAAGATAGCCTTGGATCAAGACTGTAAAAAATATCTCTTATTGAGCAAACGTCATATAAATTGTCAATCAAAATACATCTGTCAGTCTTCATTTAAGGCTTATAAAAATTTAGTGAACCTGGCGTTTAACATCAAAATACAGAAGGCCAACATTGTATCCTAGATGGGATAACTCAACCCCAACTGATATAATTTCTTTTTCATTGAAGCTTGGATTTTAACGTTTAACTGTGCCCCACCTGGGAGAACACATATATTAACTGTACTTGAAACACAGGCATTATAGGGAAGGTTAATTAAGGAACCATAAAAGGCAGGGGCAATCTGAAAACAAGGAAAGACTTCCCTCAATTTTAAAACTTAATCCATGTGA